TTTCCCTCTTGCCGACTGAAAATGTTTGCTTGGCTCTGTGAAAATAATGTTAATTAAAAGTCTATATACACATATAAAATGTCAGTTTAAAGAAAAAAAAGACTTAAGCTGGAAAGCCAGCTTCAACTCCTTATTCATTGCGTGACCGTGGCAAGCTACCGAGCATCTCTGAGTCTTAGCTCTTTTATCTATAACTTGGGAACATCTATATCTACCAGAGAGGGCCACTGCGCAGATTAAATGAGCCTGTGCACTTAGCACATGAACTGGTGCTCTAGGTCCTCAGCAAATGCCTGTCATTGCCATCATTGCTGCCATCAGCATCATCACCATCATCATCATCCTGATCATCCTGCTACTCTTGGGAAATTAGGTTTCATCAACAAGATTGTCAGCAGCTGACGTCTAAACCCCCATCCCTAGCTCCTGCTGAACAGAGCAAAGGTTTTTCCTTAACGGAAACGATATCATATGTGCTTCCTACAGCATTTATATCCTATAGGGCAGAGCACATAGTAGGTCCTCAGGAAACTCTCTGGGTCACCCACCTACATCTCCAAGCTCACGTCAGATCACCTCCTCACTTGCTCACTGCCCTAGCCATGCTGGCTGCCTTTCTAACCTGTGAATAAGCTCATTCCCACCTCGGAGCCTTTGGCTGCCTCTGCAATGCTCTTTCCCCAGAGCCCTGTGGCTGGTTTCTTGTTATCACGTGATCCAAGTGTCATTTCCAGGCAGGTGCCGTGACTCACGCCTGCAATCCCAGCACTTTGGGAGGCAGAGGCGGGTGGATCACTTGAGGCCAGGAGTTAAAGACCAGCCTGACAGAACTTGTTTCTATTTAGGAAAAAAAAAATTAGCTGGGCATGGTGGTGTATGCCTGTAATCCCAGTTACTCGGGAGGCCGAGACACAAGAATTGCTTGAATCTGGAAAGTGGAGGTTGCGGTAAGCTGAGATAGCACCACTGCACTCCAGGCTGCGCAACAGAGTGAGACTCCATCTCCAAAAAAAAATCACTTCCTCAGAGAAGTCCTCCCGGATCACCCCAATCAAAATAGCACTCCTTCCCTCCCTCTCTATACTGCAGAGGTCAAGTGTCTAAGTGGCTAAGTAGAATTCCAGTTCCAGTCTGGTGTGGTGGCTCATGCCTGTAATCCTAGTGCTGTGGGAGGCTGAGTCAGGTGGATCACTTGAGGTCAGGAGTTTGAAACCAGTCTGGCGAACCTGGTGAAACTCCGTCTCTACTAAAAATACAAAAAAAAAAAAAAAAAGTTAGCCAGGCGTGGTGGCGGACGCCTGTAATCCCAGCTACTCGGGAGGCTGAGGCAGGAGAATCACTTGAACCACGAAGGCAGAGGTTGCAGTGAGCAGAGATCACACCTCTGCAATCCAGCCTGGGCGACAAAGCAAGACTCTGTATCAAAAAAAAAAAGAATTCCAGTTCCATCACTTCTTAGCAGTGTGGCCCGAGGCAAGTTGCTTAATCTCTTTGTGCTTCAATTTTCTTTTTTTCTTTTTCTTTTTTTTTTTTTTTTGAGACTGAGTTTGGCTCTTCTGGCCCACGCTGGAGTCCAGTGGTGCAATCTCAGCTCACTGTAACCTCCGCCTCCTGGGTTCAAGCAATTCTCCTGCCTCAGCCTCCAGAGTAGCTGGGATTATAGGTGCACACCATCACACTCAAATAATTTTTGTGTATTTTTAGTAGAGATGGGGTTTCACCATGTTGGTTAGGCTGGTCTTGAACTCTTGACCTCCGGTGATCCACCCGCCTCGGCCTCCCAAAGTGCTGGGATTCCAGGCATGAACCACTGCGCCGGGCCCAATTTTCTCATCTGTAAAAATGGAAGTAATCATAGTTTCCACTTCATGAGGTTATTATGACAAATTAATATATATAAAGCTTTTAGAGTAGTGCCTGGCTTATTGATGAAGTGCTATCTCATGTGGGTAATTATCTTGTTCACTCATTTAGTTGCTTGTGTTACATTTCTCCATCTAGACTGTACATTCCAAGAGACCAGAGACTTTGTTTGTTTTGTCCCTACCTTACATATAGTAGGTCCATCTTCATAAATATCAAATGATTAGGAAGAACTGGCTGGGCACAGTGGCTCACGTCTGTAATCTCAGCACTTTGGGAGGCCGAGGCAGGAGGATTGCTTGAGGCCAGGAGTTTGAGACCTGCCTGACCAATATGGCAAGACCCCATCTCCACAAAAAATAAAAATTAGCCTGATGTGGTGGCACATGCCTGCAATCCCAGCTACTCAGGAGGCTGAGGGGGAAGGATTGCTTGAGCCCAGAAAATTGAGGCTGCAGTGAGCCATGATCATACCACTGCACTCCAGCCTGTGTGATAGAGTGAGACCCTGTCTCTGAATGTGTTTTTTTTGTTTGTTTTTTTTTTTAATTTTTAAATAAAAAATAGGATCTTAGGAGACATGAAAGCCCTATCTGCTGTCTCTGGCTTCAACTGGCCCCACTGTCCCAGAGACAGCCCTGGGGTGCCCCCTGCTGGATGCCACACAGGTTTTTCCTTACAGGCAGCTGGTATCTGCCATCCCGTAATGTTTACACGTGGGTCCAGCTCTGTCCTCCAGGGTAGGGGAGAAATGCTAACAGGAGTTAAGAGCACTCACTTAGGAGCCAGATGTGCCTGGACAGGAGCTTCTGCTTCTCCAGTTACTCTGTATCACTTGCCAGGAAACCGTAAAAGGGATGGCCATGCGCTCTCCCGTCCCACCTCTGACTGGACTGTGGGGTGGTGTAATAGGAAGTGCCCTATGCCCAGGGAGCCTTCTGGCCCGCCTCATACAGCCCTTTGAAGGCTGAGAAGCAGTTGTCTTATCTTCTTAACCTAAACACCACTGGTGTATCTGATGTCCCTCTACTGACAGGGAGAATGAGTCTGAGGCCCCTCTGGTCTCCTCTGAGGGCCCCATGCCCTGGGGAGAGACCACAGCAGGCTCAGGGCCTCTGGGCTTCCGGGCAGGGCTTCCGGCTCCTTCCTCAGGCTCTTGGCTGCAGGTGGCCTTCTGGTTTTGCACCTACCTCCCACCCCTCCCCCTGCCTTCCTGGCTGCCCGGCTTCCCCTGTCCCTGGTCGGTCCGTTGTGAGCCCAGAGGCCTCTCCTGCCTCACTCCATGCCTGTTCCTGCCCTTGGCTTTGGTTTCTGGCCACAGACACTGCACCTCCTATAACTGCATCAGCAGCCCAGGGCCCCACACTCTCTATGGGCCTCTTTCCTGAATGTTCCATGGGCGCCTGAAACTCAGGGGCGCCCCCCTCCACCTACAGCACCTTCCACACCCCCCACATTCCAGTGCTGACCTCCAGTACTCACGGGTACCCCTACCTGACCTCCTGGCCCCTCACGCCCACGACCTGTCTCCATCTTCAGTTTCCTCCCATAGCCTACTGCGGGCTCCAGTCCTTTCTCCACTCACCCCATCCCCTATTAACCTGGCTCCCCACACGCCCACCCTTAGTCTCCCACCCCTAAGCATGGGAGTTCATGGGGTGAGCCTGTTCCTCCATAGCACTTCATCAAGCTGGACCCCGAGGGCAAAGCATCAGTTCCTTTGTCTGATTGGCAGCTCCGGTGAACATGGACTGTGCCTTCCCCACTAGACTGAAATCCCCTAAACAGGACAGAGGGCGTCCTTGTGGAAGAGGCTATGCCTCTCCCTCGAAACTGAGAGTTTTCTGAAGTCAAAGTTTTGTCTCCCTTGTCAGACTGAGGATGTCCCCAGAGCAGGGGCTGCATCTCCACCACTGCACTGGAGGGCCCAGGACACTGGCTCCCCCTCCCCTGGGGTCCTACCCTTCATGTGGCCAGGCTTCTGATTCTTCCTGGGAACGAGTCTCTTATTCCCCGCTGTAACTTCAGGGCCCCCACATATGACCTGGCCTGGGGTTGGGGCTCTGGGAATTGTAAGTAAATGAACGAGTGAATGAATGAACAATTGCAGGCAGGCCCCAGCTTGACCCCTGCAATCCCACCAGACCAGAAGGTAGCATCAGGGTTCAGAACCAAAGCAAAGCTGGAGGCTCTCAGTGATTTTATTGGTCTCCATTTCAGGAGAGAAGGGCAGAGGGTTCCAGGCTCTTTAAATGCCCGCCCCCAGGACCAGCAGCTGACAGTCTCTGGAAGGGGCTGGGGTGGCCGGAAGGAGTGTGCGGGAGCACAGAGTCTGGCACAATGCCCTCCCCACCTCCCCTCCCCCAGGCCAATGGCTGGACCAACCTCTGGGCCAGGCTTGGAAAAGGGCCAATGAGACCAGATGCTAATGACTCCAGAGGGTGGGCATGAACTAAGAGAAACTCCAAACCCACTCTTTTTGTGCTTCCCCATCCCCACCTCCCATCCCCCACCCCAGGCCCCTCAACTCCATCCCTGGGCCCAAGAGAACTGGTACCGTAGACCCTAGCACAGTCCACACCCACCCCAGTTGCCAATCAGACAAAGGAACTGACACCTTGCCCTTGGGGCCCAGCTTGATGAAGGGCTGTGGAGGCTTGGGGAAGGTGAGGACACTATGGACTAAGTTAAGGCCTATCTACTCCCAGCCTCTACCCTTCCAAGCATCTGAGGGAGGGTAGAAGCAGGGCCACTCAGGGCTCTACCCACATGCTGCTATTGGTCACCTGGGTCCTGAGAACTGGTACACCCCCGACCCCACTCTGCCTTTAGTAAAGGATGGGGGATCGTAGCAAGGCCTAGGATAATCACTGGACCAGGAAAGGCCTGGAGGGCAGCCCCCCCAACATGCCCTTTTCTGGCCTCTGGGCAGCTTGGGTGTCGGTCAGGCGCCAGGCTCAGGTCACCCTTCCTTGGTCTCACAATCCCAGCTTTGTCCTGCCTGGCAGGGCCAGCTGGCTCCATACTGGCCCAAGGGCCGCTGGAAACCAGAGCAACTGGAGCCCTACCAAGTATTTTTCCAGGCTATGCCGGGGGCCCTCGGGAGACAGAAAAGGATGGGAAGGGAGCAGCGTTCATCCATTCGTTCATTCATTCCTTCCTTGGACAAATAATATTTATTGAGAGCCCACTTTGTGGCAGGCAGTGTGCTAGATGCAAGGGGTTCAGCAGTGGGTCCAGTCCACGCCCACGCCCTCACGGATCTACGTTCTAGAAGCCGGCTACCTAAGCAAACCTATGCCAACAAAACTTCTCTCTCCCTGCTCAGGGGCTGGGCTCGGAGCAAGGGATGGGAGGAGGATGTGTGGCTTGGGGAAGGCAAGGACGCTATGAACTAAGTTAAGGCCTATCTACCCCCGGCCTTTGCCCCTCCAGGCAGCTGGGGGTGGGTGGAGGCAGGGCCGGGCCGCTCAGGGTTCTACCCACACGCTGCTGTTGGTCACCCGAGCCCCGAACCAGCCCTTCCAGTAGACGGAGTCCTGCCCCCCGTGCTCGAAGCGGACGAAGCGGACGCCCGGCCCGTAGTCGGTGAAGGTGTGGGAGATCTGGGGGCGGAGGTAAGAAGAGTCAGCCTCAGAGGTCCAGAGGCCTCCCCTGCCGCCCCACCCCAGCACACCGACCGACCTGCAGCTCCCCCATTCGGTTTCTCGGCAGTATTCAGAGTTCTCTCCACCACCCGGTGACTATCTCACCCTGCCCAGCCCAGGCGCGCCGCGGGCGGGGTCTCCTTAAGTCACGCCCCTGACGTCCAGGCCCCACCCCTCCGCCCTGGGTCCCCCAGGCTCACCTCCATCCAGCCCCCGCCGTCACTGTCTTGGGGCACTGCCACCTGCCCGCTGCTGAACTCAGCCAGCACGTCCTCGTGCTCGGACAGTAGCTTCACGGTGAGCTCGTACAGGCAACCAGCGTCGCTGCGGCCCGAGTACCTGCTCAGAGGGAGGGGGGGAGGTGGGGGGCGGGGGGTGGGGTGGGGTGGGGGCATGGCCTCAGCCCTGCTGAACACGTCCTGGGGACAGGGATTTCCACAAAAGTCCTCCTGTGCGCCCAGCATCCCTGTCGGCCAGCACTGCCAGTGCTCCGAGTTTACAGATAAGGGAAACAAGGCCAGCAAGAGAAAGTGACAGTCCAAGGACTACATTCCAGGTTGGCCGGACCCCAGCTTGGGGCCAAAGCCAGTCCACAGAGTGGCCTTTGGTTTGGACCGCAGACTAATTTTGAAATACATACATTACATACATACAAACATAATATATGTGCATATATTTGCCAACAATTAAAACTCAGGAGGGGAGGTGGGTTTCCAGGTTCTCCTGAATACTCCGAAGCTGTCAACCTTTGCAGACCCGTGGCCCACGTGGCCTCAACCCCTGCAGTGGGGAGGCAGCATCCCTGGGGGGGGGGGCCCCAGCTGGCTCACCCCTCTGCCTTACCCCACTCCTCCCAGCCCCATGCCACCCCAGGGCCCTCTCACCAGTCCTTCACCACGATGGCCGGCTGAGTAGTGTCCAGCAGCTCCTCCCAGTAGCCCTCAGCCTGCAGGTCAATGATCTGCGCTTTGCGACACCACCTGGGAGAACTGGAGTTAGAACAGAGCGGACGCTCCCCCTCCCCCCCTCCTCCACCCCCTTCTCCTTACTCGAAGGAGGAGGCGAAGTACTTCTTGACGCTCTCGTCGTGGGTGAACTCCACCCCACTGTCTCCAGGCAGCTCCTCCACCCTCCAGCCGTCCCCACCATGCTCCACGTCACACCAGCCCTCCAAGTCCTCTGTAGGGACACGACAGCCCCACCCTGGTCACTCAGTCCCTGCTAAGGCTGTGGCAGGGCTGGCTCTTGCCACTATGTGGAGGTGGGCAGGGCAAAGGTGGCACTTGGTGTCTGGGTGGGCAGATGATGAATGAGAGAGTGAACCAGTGGGCACTTTCTAAATCTGCCTCCTGGCAGGTATGTCCCCCATCCCGCCCTGCTCCAGCTGGCTGAGGGTGGGAGGAGCCGGGAGACCCCAGGACGCAGGTGGCCAGAGAGGTACAGTAATAGACAGCCTTGGGGCTGCCCATTGCTGGCACTGAGCCAGGCGCTTCCATTTCTCCCTCAAAGCCAGCCGGCGCCATTTCGGCCCACTTCGCAGCAGGGGAAGCTGAGCTCGCCCGGCAAGGGCTTCTCACCTTCCCCGCATGGGTTGCGCAGAAGGTTGCGGCGCCGCTTGCTCAAGAAGTAGAACTGCTGCCAGTGGTCGCGCTCCTCCTCCGCGCCGCCCTCGGGCACCAGCCCCTCCTGCTGGCACTTGAGCAGCCACAGCGGGGCGCCGTCCACCAGCTCCTTCCAGCGCAGGCACACCAGGCGGCAGGCCTGCACCAGCTCGGCGGCCGGGAGTGCGGCTAGCACGCGCAGCAGCAGCGGCTCGGGCAGCTCGTCCAGGTACGCGGCGGCCACCGCCTCCTCCTCCTCTTCCTCTTGGTCCTCCGGCCTCTCCTCCTCAGCGCTCGCCTCGTCCGGCTGCTCCTCCGGGCTTGCCTCCTCGGGCTGCCCCACGCTTTCTGCAGGCAGGGGTGGGTGGGGGGTTGTGTACCTCACCCACCCTGTACCCCTTCAGGCCCCAGGACTGCAATGTGCCCATATCCTCCCCCACCCACCTTGGGACAATCCACAGCTGGGGTCGGAGATTCTGTGACTACAGACTGGTGCCCAAGGAAGAGGGCCACAGGGCCAGGGACCAACCCTGGATCAGCCCCTAAGTCCAAAGAGGTGCCTCAGAGGCCTGTTTCCTCTGCTGGACCAGTAAAGCCCAGGCCTGGGCAGATGGCAGCAAGGATCATATTTTTATTATTAATGACATCCATCTATAGCACTGTACAATGCTTCACACAGGAACTTCTTTCATCCTCCCAACCACCCTCTGAGATCCCTGCTCCCCTCACCTCCTCAGGAAGCCTTCTGGGATTTCCCCCTATGACACCCTCTCACAGCCCTTCCTAGCTTTTGTCCTGTGGTGTGATCCTATGATAAACGCCTGTCTCTGGACCATACGGAGCTTCATGAGGGCCAGAACATGGTCTGGAAAACACAGCTTCACGTCCTGTGCCTGGCATCTGGCACTTTCCCTGGTCTGTTGTCAGGAACTCATGTTTTGGGGGTACTCGGCAAGTGTTAGCCACTGTCCAAAGCATTTCAACTTCATTTACTCTTTAAATCCTCATACCATTTCTTTGAGGTTGCTCTTATTGCTGTCCTTATTTCATTGATGAGGAAACTGAGGCACAGAGAGGTGAAACAGCCCAGGATCACACAGCTAATCAGTGGTTGGAGCCTGGATTTGAACCCAGATAGCCTGGCTCCAGAGCCATTAAACCACCACAGCCTCCACAAAATAATTCACTGAATTAGTAGGCAGTGTTAGGATTCTGACTTTTTTTTTTTTTTTTTTTTTTTTTGAGATGGAATCTCGCTCGCTCTGTCACTACACTCCAGGCTGGAGTGCAGTGGCGTGATCTCGGCTCACTGCGACCTCTGCCTCCTGGGTAGCTGGAAGCTGAGAAGCGAGTCTTCTGCCTCAGTTTCCCAAGTAGCTGGGATTACACGCATGTGCCACCACACCTGGCTAAATTTTGTATTTTTAGGAGAGATGGGGTTTCGCCATGTTGGCCTGGCTGGTCTCAAACTCCTGACCTCAGGTGATCCACCCACCTAGGCCTCCCAAAGTGCTAGGATTAAAGGCATCAGCCACCACGCCCGGCTGACTTTTATTTTTAAAAATAGGATCTCACTCTGTTGCCCAGGCTGGCCTCAACTCCTGTACTCAAGCAATCCTGCTGTCTCGGCCTCCTAAAGTGCTGGGATTACAGTCATGCTCCACTGCACCAAGGCCAGGATTTTGACTTTGCAGGTGCAAATATTCAGGCTCAGGGATTAAGTGACTTGTTGAAGGACACACTGCCAGTATTTAAGGAAGGGGACATGGGACCTGGAGCCTTCAGGGGCTGGAGAACAGAGCCCAGAAACCCAGCTGTCCCCAGCTATTGTGTGATTTGGGGATGAGGAGGGACTTATTTAAATAAACCATAACAAGCAAGGAGATGACATAGGGCCTTGGGGAACGAAACTGTCTCTACCTCCTTTTCCCATCCTTGGCCCTCAGTTTTCTCATCTGTAAATGGGAGTAATCATTGTGCTAGGCCATACAAACAGGACAGATGTCCAAATCCCCTGACGAGGGGGACAAGAGCATTCTGAATTGTAAGGAGGCAGGCAGATGTCACCGCAGCAGCCGGACTGTCTCTTGGATCCCAGTTGGCTTCAGCGGGGCCGTCACAGCCTTGAGTAAGTGGACACCGAGTGCCCCAGATGCCTGGATGAGGGAGAGCCAGTGAGGAGGAGACAGGGCCGCTCTGGGTGATCAGGAAGACTACAGCTCTCAGACCTACGATGGGGAGCTCCCATGGGCTAGGCCCTGGAGAGTCAAGGCGGTGGTGGGAACAGGCCAGGCACTGGGGAAGGGGACAGGTGGCAGGGCCCAGACCCAAGTCTCCAGGCCCACCAGCCCTTAACCTCCTCACATGCAGCTTCTCCTCCCTGCCCAACAGACAGTCGGGCCCTTGAGAGCTTTCGCAGAGCCCAGAGCACACAGCGAGTCCTCAGTCAGTCTTACTGAGTGAACCACATTGAACACAGCACTTCTCCTTCCTTATTAGCATTTTTTTTGGCCACATCTTTATGATGTGGGGATTTACACCTGCCCCTTTGGCAAAGAGGAAACTGAGGCCAAAAGGGGCTTAACAGCTTCTCCCAGACCACATCGCAGAACAGCAGGAAGACAGAGGAAAATGCCAAGCCCTGAAGCCACATCGCCTGCCCAGGCAGATGCCCACAGCTCTCTGGGGAGCTGGGCCCAGTGTCCTCACCTCTCCAGCCCTCCCCTCCGGCCCTGGCCCCATCGGACACCTGATGCTCCCCGAAAGGTGCACCTCACCCAGTCCCCTCTTCTGGCCCCGGGGCCTGGCACTCAAGGCCCCAGATCCAATTACAGCTCCCCCCACCCTCTCTCTTACACACACAACTCCCCACATTGTTGCCGGCGGAAAGTTATCTGGCCCCTGGAAGCTGCCTGCCTGCGAGGCTGATTCACTCACCTGGAGTGGGCCCCAGAGTCCAGGGAATAGCTGAGCCCTGGGAAAAAGCAGGAGCCAGTTCTGGAGCCCTACAGAGGGTGTGGCCAGAAGGCCGTGGATTGGGAGCAAGGGCTGCAGGAGCTGGGATTTTCAGGGCTGGAGGTGGGGGGAATGGGGGGTGGGGGGGGCCAGAGCTTTCATCAGTCTGTTTGCCACCGCATACCCCAAGCAATGCCCACCCCGAGCTGGACCTGATGAGGAAAGAGTGAGGGCTGTCTGCAGGCAGGTCTTGTTTCCATCCTGACTCAGCAGGCAACCCCTGCAGGCCCCGCAGGGAGTTGGGCGATTGGGGGTGAGGGGTCTTGGGTGCCAGAGAGGATGACTGGGCAGCCTGGGAAGGCTCTGAGCACCAGCCAAAGCTGCCCCCAATGCTCCCTCACCGCTGGCCCGGTCTCCACTGGGCATCTCACCACGCCGGGGAGGGGAGGGGCCGCCCCTCCAGACAAGGGAGCTCAGGAGGAAGGCAGGGATAGGTGAGGACAGGCCAGGGACCCCAAGGAACCCACGGGGATCCAGGCGGCCCAAGGCCCAGAGCTGGAAGAGCTGATGAAAGAAAAGGCTCGCAGCCTCCGTCCCAGACGCATCCCAGGCGCCCGCCAGACAGACCCTCAGGAAGCTGGGAGGCGGGAATGTGGGGGTCCTCTCGTGCTACTTCCTGGCTAAATGGGACCCAGGAGTCCTCTCTCCCTGCCGGTCGCCTCTCAAGGCCTCCCGCCAGACCAAGATAGCAGAGAGATGTGCTCTTTGGAGACCGCCTCTAGGACTTCGCTGGCGTGAAAGTTTGCCGCGCCAGGTCTCCGGGCCCCCTCGCTCTCTGACTCCGCTCTGTGCAGCGCTCGCCCGCCGACCCCATCTCCCCTCCCCGCCGCAGCGAGCGGTCCAGGCGGCGGCTACCTGGGTCACCGTCTCCGTCCATCGCTGCGGAGGGCGGTCGCGAGAGGAGGAGGAGCCGGAGCGCTGCGGGCTGCGCGAGTCCCGGGGCGGCGAGTACCGGCGCTGTCCGCGTCTGTGTCGGTCCCGGCGGCCGCGCCTCTTAAAGGCCCCCGACCCGCCCCGCCCCGCCCCGCCCCGCCTCTGGCCCCGCGCCCGGCCGCCCCGCAGTCCCAGCAATCGGCTCGAGACCTGGGGCTGCGGGTTCCTCAGCGGACCCAGGAGGCTGGGAAAGGTCAGGAGGTGTTTTCGTTTAATTGGGGAGGGGTCCGATTTGGGGCATCTCCCAGCTCGCTCCTGGGGGACTGCTGGGAGGAGGCGGCGAGGGGAGGCAGGGAGAGGCTGGGTCAGGCCGAGGGTGCGGGGCGGGTGGCCCAAGCGTAGTCGGGGGATAGGAGGCGCCTTCCGCCCCACCCCCAACACCAGGTAATTTTCCTACGACGCGGCGAGGGGCGCGTCCCTGGCCCAGCGCTGCGCGGGGCGGGGCCCTGGGCGCGGGGGCGGGGCGCTGGGCGCGGGGGCGGGGCCTGGAGGGCCGGGGCGGAGCCTCACTTCCCCGGCAAGCGCAGGTCCAGGCGGTGCAGCTTGGGCGGCCCAGCGGATCGTGCAGCTGCAGCCGAGCGCAGGTGACCGGCAGGAGGGGGCGCGGGGGGCGCCGGGGAGGGGGCGCGGCTGGGCGGGGGCTGCCGGGAAGGCTCCTGGGTTCCCGGTCGCGCCGCAGTTGCCGAGGGAGGCCCGGCACCGACCAGGCCCAGGCCGCCAGGCCTGAACTGGCTGCGCGGCGCGGCCGCGAACGGGGGCTGGGGTCGCCATCGATGTGCAGGGGTCGGAGCCCAGACTTTGGGGGACATTTTAAAGCACAGCGTAGGAAGGGGAGGCTGCAGGCGCGCTGGCAGACTTGGGGTGGAGGAGCCCAGCCGCGGGGCTGGGGGTGGGGGTAGGGAGATAGGAAGGGCCCTTCCCTGTCGCCCACCCTCTTGCCACTCCCAGCTAGGCAGGAGGTCATGTCCTCTGAGATCCTGAGAAGGTGGCTGCAGCCCTTTGGACCTCCGGGGGAGGCAGTAATAATTAGCCTCCTCCTCCCATCATGTTCCGAGGATGGGAGAAAGGATGGTGACGGCACTGGAGGCCCGGGGTGCTCTGCCGGGCTGCGCATAGACTGTCTGGCTTACTGAAAATGGCTGGCCCTGGAATCAAAGAAGATCCTGGCTCCTTCCCCCTCTGCCCTTATTTTTGACCTTGGGCAGTGCCTTCCACGTTTGTTGTGAGAAGCCAGAGAAAAAAAATCAGAGCTCACCTTTTATTAAAGTACCTGATATGCCCTAAGCTCCTTGGACCGCCCCAGTGACCCCTGGAGGTAAGGTACCCATTTACAGAGAGGGAAACTGAGGCTGGGAGAGGCACTATGACTCTCCCGAGATAAATGACAGAGCAGGGATGAGGCCTGCAGCATAGCTTTTCAACAGCCACAGGAGGGTATCCAGAAGCCACTAGCCATGGCTGTGGGGAACATCAACGAGCTGCCCGAGAACATCCTGCTGGAGCTGTTCACGCACGTGCCCGCCCGCCAGCTGCTGCTGAACTGCCGCCTGGTCTGCAGCCTCTGGCGGGATCTCATCGACCTGGTGACCCTCTGGAAGCGCAAGTGCCTGCGAGAGGGCTTCATCACCGAGGACTGGGACCAGCCCGTGGCCGACTGGAAGATCTTCTACTTCCTACGGAGCCTGCACAGGAACCTCCTGCACAACCCGTGCGCTGAAGGTGGGGTACAGGCCGGGTCTGGCATGCCTCCAGTACACACAGTTGTGACACCAGGAACATGTATTGAGCACTTAGTATGAGCCACGTGCTTTGGATGGTTTAACACCTTTTCTCCTCTCACAGTAACCCGAAGAGGTAGCTACTGATAGTACACACATTTTTCAGATGGGCAAACTGAGGCCAAGAGTGGTGTTTCTTATTGTTACTCTACTCTTTTTTTTTTCTTTTTCTTTTTTTTTTTTTGTGACAGAGTTTCACTCTGTCACCCAGGCTGGAATACAGTGGCGCAATCTTGGCTCACTGTAACCTCCACCTCCCAGGTTCAGCCTCCCAAATAGCTGGGATTACAGGCATGCGCCACCATACCTGGCTAATTTTTTTTTTTTTTTGGATGGAATCTCGCTCTGTTGCCCAAGCTGGAGTGCAATGGTGCGATCCTGGCTCACTGCAACCTCCACCTCCCGGGTTCAAGGGATTCTCCTGCCTCAGCCTCCCGAGTAACTGAGACTACAGGTGGGATTACAGGTGCCCGCCACCATGCCCAGCTAATTTTTTGTATTTTTAATAGAGACACGGTTTCACCATGTCTCTATTAAAATACAGGCTGGTTGTTAAACCAGCCTGTATTTGGCCAGGCTGGTGTTAAACTCCTGGCCTCAAGTGATCCGCCTGCCTTGGCCTCCCAAAGTGCTGGGATTACACGCATGAGCCACCACGCCCGGCCTCTTATTCTACTCTTAAGATTATTTCCCCAGTGACCTTTCCTAAGAAAGGGAATGTTGGGCAACTGAGACTAATTCTGCTTAAGACACAAGGCAAGGAAGTCAGAGCCATGTTTTGTTGGCCTAGTTTCTAGGCTCCAGGGTTGGGCCTACTGACATGGTCCCAGAGGGCCAAAGGGGTTTTGCTTGTGGAAGAATGGGAGATCCGGTCTTCTTCCCAGGATGTTACAACAACAGGTAAAGCAAGGTTTCTACTGATCCTTGCTTGCTGTGTTGTTGGGTAGACACTGGGATGGCATGGGAACCTCGTTTTCCACAATTTGACCAAATTCTGGAGCAAAATGATAATAAAACAACGCCTCCCAGCTGTCCATGAGCCAAATCTGGCTGAGGCATTAAGAATTGTTTTTACGTTTTTATTTATTTATTTATTTATTTTTGAGACAGAGTTTCACTCTTGTTGCCCAGGCTGGAGTACAATGGCACGATCTCAGCTCACCGCAACCTCCGCCTCCTGAGTTCAAGTGATTCTCCTGCCTCAGCCTCTCAAGTAGCTGGGATTACAGTCATGCGCCACCACATCCAGCTAATTTTGTATTTTTAGTGGAGATGGGGTTTCTCCATGTTGGTCAGGCTGGTCTCGAACTCCCAACTTCAGGTGATCCACCCGCCTCGGCCTCCCAAAGTGCTGGGATTACAGGTGTGAGCCACTGTGCTTGGCCTGTTTTTACATTTTTAAAGGATTATTTAAAAAAAAAAAAGAGAGAGAAGAAACAACAACCAAAAAAACCATACAATAGAGATAGTTTGTGGCCCACAAGTCCTAAAATATTTTGGCACTTTGCCAAAAAAGCTTCCCAGCCCCTGTTCTTACTCCAGTTTACAGAGGAGACAACTGAGGCTCAGAGAGGGAAAGCAACTGGCCTGAGGTCACACAGCTGAGTACTGGTAGAGCTGGGAGTAGACCCAGGTCTGTCTGGCCCACATCAGAGCGTTCTCCATCACAGAAGGCATCTGGGCCAGGAGCAGTGGCTCATACCTGTAATCCCAGCACTTTGGGAGGCCAAGGTGGGTGGATCATCTGAGGTCAGGAGATCGAAACCAGCCTGGCCAACATGGCGAAACCCTGCCTCTACAAAAAAATAAAAAATTAGCCAGGTATGGTGGCATGCGACTGTAATCCCAGCTACTCGGGAGGCTGAGGCAGGAGAATCACTGAAACCCAGGAGGCAGAGGTTACAGTGAGCCGAGATCGAGCCATTGCACTCCAGCCTGGGTGATGAGCGAAACTCTGTCTTAAAAAACAAACAACAAAAAAAAAGTTTTTATGTTTTTGAAGGATTATAGGAAAAGAAACAACAACAAACAAAAAACTATACAATAGAGATAGTATGTGGGCCACAAGTCCTAAAATATTTTGGCACTTTGCCAAAAAAGCTTCTCAGGCCCTGTTCTTACTCCAGTTTACAGAGGAGACAACCAGGGGTCAGAGAGGGAAAGCAACTGGCCCAAGGTCACACAGCCGAGTGCTGGTAGAGCTGGGACTAGACCCAGGTCTGTCTGGCCCACATCAGAGCGTTCTCCATCACAGAAGAGGTCTGGTCATTCACATCACCATGTGTCTCAGGGCCCCCAGGGAAGTCACCTCCCTGTGCCTGCAACACAGGAAGCACCTAATACGCGGTAGCCACTGTGATCTGCAGCGTCCCACAGCACAGGGCTTGAGGGCAGCTGCCAAGATGCGGGCAGAGGAGTTGGGAGGAAGGGGCACTTGGGAGAAGGTGGCCACTGAGGGGCTTCCCTTCAGTGTGAACTCTGCTTTTCCATCAGAGGGGTTCGAGTTCTGGAGCCTGGATGTGAATGGAGGCGATGAGTGGAAGGTGGAGGATCTCTCTCGAGACCAGAGGAAGGAATTCCCCAATGACCAGGTCAAGAAATACTTCGTGACTTCATATTAGTAAGATCCGGGGACTTGGGGTAGGGGAAAGCCCAAATCTATTTACCCTGGGGTCCCTCCCACCCTGGAAAGGGGCAGTCCTAGCCCCTCACTGCCCTAGTGGTGAGCCCCAGCCCCTCCCACCCTTCTGCCTGCCCCCAGCACCTGCCTCAAGTCCCAGGTGGTGGACCTCAAGGCCGAAGGGTATTGGGAGGAGCTGATGGATACCACACGGCCGGACATCGAGGTCAAGGACTGGTGAGTGCCTGGGGCAAGGGTCTGGGGGGGGCATGCCAATCAGGCGCCCCACCCCTGCCCTGCCCCCAATCTCCGAGGCCCTGATGGGCCCTCCCTCTCCCTGCAGGTTCGCAGCCAGGCCAGATTGCGGGTCCAAGTACCAGCTGTGCGTTCAGCTCCTGTCGTCCGCGCACGCGCCTCTGGGGACCTTCCAGCCAGACCCGGCAACCATCCAGCAGAAGAGCGATGCCAAGTGGAGGGAGGTGCGTGGGCCTGGGAGGCAGGGGCAGAGGCAGATTGTCCAAGGCTGAGGCTGCGGTCAGATGGGGTCTAGGTTCAGATCCAAGCTCTGCACCTTCTCAGCTATGCTTCCAATGCTCTGAGCTTCACTCACTGCTTCTGTAAAATGGGTATATAGTGCTTCCGTCATAGAGCTCTGAAAGAAATCAGTGAAATGATGCTGGCAAGGCCAGGGCCAAAAAATATTCCAAAAGGTTGGCAGGGGTCTTTGGCTCACACCTATAATCCCAGCATTTTGGGAGGCCCAGACAGGCAGATCACCTGAGGTTGGGAGTTCGAGACTAGCCTGACCAACATGGAGAAACCCTGTCTTTACCAACAATACAAAATTACCCAGGCGTGGTGGCGCATGCCAGCTACTCAGGAGGCTAAGGCAGAAGAATCGCTTGAATCCAGGAGGCGGAGGTTGCAGTGAGCCGAGATCGCACCACCCACTGACTCCGCCTGGGGCAACAAGAGGGAAACCTCCATCTAATAACAAAAAAAAAAAAAGAAAAAATTCCAAAAGGTTTACTGTTTTGACTGCTTACTAATTACTAGTATGATATTGACTGTTTTAGACTGCGGGTCAGCAAACGGTTTGTTAGTGTTGTTTTAATTTACTTACAATTTTTAGGGACAGGGTCTCTGTCACCCAGGCTGGCGCACTTCATGCTCACTGCAGACTCAAATTCTTAGGCTCAAGCCATCCTCCTGCCCCAGCCTCCTGGCAGCTGGGAGTACGCAGGTGCGCACCACACTAATTAAAACAAATTTTTTGGCAGGCGCGGTGCTCAAGCTGTAAAATCCAGCACTTTGGGAGGCCGAGACGGGCGGATCACGAGGGTCATGAGATCCGAGACCACCGGCTACACGTGAAACCCCGTTCTCTACTAAAAAAAATACAAAAAAACTAGCCGGGCGAGGTGGGCGGGGCCCTGTAGTCCCAGCTTACTCGGAGGCTGAGCGCAGGAGAATGGGCGTGAACCCGGAGGCGGAGCTTGCAGTGAGCTGAGATCCGGCCATTGGCACTCCAGCCTGGGCGACAGAGCGAGACTCGTCTCAAAAAAAATTTTTTTCTTTTTTTTTGTAAAGATAGAGTTTTGCTTTGTTGGCCGCAGGCTGGTCTTGCACTTCTGGGCCTCAAGTCATCCTTCTGCCTCCAATCTCCCAAGTGCTGGAATACAGGCATGAGCCACCTGTGCCCAGCCCTACAAATTGTT